GCTGCGCGGCTGAGTCACCGGCCGCGCGGCCGCGCCTGCCGCCGGGGCCACCTGGAGCGCGTCCGCCCGCTGGGGACCCGCGCAGGGCCCGGCCGCTCTCCCGCGGCGACCCCGGTTCGTGCTGCCCCGGGCCGGGCTGACGGCGGGGGGTGGAACCTGGCCGCCTGATGGCAGAAGCGTTACAGGGAACTTTCCCCGTGGCCTCAGCCTTTCCCAAACTTCACTCAGGGAGGGCACAGGTTTTCCCAGGTCCCGGGAGTTGGCACATCTACCAAGCCTTCCTGAGACTTCTCCCCGTCACCGCTGTGGCCACATTCTAAGATCCCCTTTTCTGGGTGAATCTGAGGAGTACCATGTGGGGAGAAACGCTTCCCCCTGGGTAACCAGGTCTCAGGCCTTGGGGGCTCTTACAGTCTGGAAGGACTTTCCTGTCTTTGAATCAGTCCTTGTCTGATCTTGGTGATAAGATGAAAAAGAGGGGATCCCACCCCAGAAAACTACCTGAGAGCAAGTAGGATAATCGCTAGCCTTTTCGTTCCAGTGTTTGGTGTTTCGGTTGGTTGTTTTTGTTTTTGTTTTTAATAGATTACCTACCTGACTTTCTCTCTCTCTTTTAAAACATGAAAGGACTTATCTTTACGCTGTATCTGTTGACGAAAGTGAAGCAATTATAGTGAAGCTAAGACCTTATTATGAAAATAAGATAATGGGTGAAGCTCACAGGGAGACAGGCTTCCCAAGAGCCCAGGCTTTTGTGAGTCTACACCATCGACTGTTCTCAGATTCCTGCCCATCCACAAGCACCATCCTTCCAAGGGCTTTCTGGGGGCCCTTAGCTACAGCTTCCCTTCCAAGCTAAATGCTTCACAAAGGCTCCATTTTCTAGGCAAATTTCCTTTTTTTTTTTTCCCCCCCAAAGCCTGCAGAATTGTTTTTGTTTGTTTTACTTTTACTTTCCATGGCATTTATAACAATTTTTTTTGTATGTGGTTCTTTGGATTCAGCTTAGTCCTACACTCTTGGTTTCTTTTTCTTTCTTTCCTAACAGTTCTCACACTCCTGTTTTCCCTCTGAGTCAGCCAAATGCCTGACACATATTTTATATGTACGCCACAACTCTGAGTTGAAATAATTCTTCCAGTTTTATAAATGCAGGTTTAATTGATCTTGAAAGTGGCTCATTAGTAAATAGCAGATAAATTGAGCACATCTTCATTAGCCTTCTTAAGCCCTTCTCTGAACAAGAAGGTTAGAAATATGTATTCTTACAGCAGTTATGGTGTCTTGGGAGGGCGAGCTTTAACTCGTCTTTGATTTCCATTTCATGCTTGGTTTTATAATATAAGGATTTTGTGGCTCCTTACAATCTCTTAGTTCCTTGATTTTGTCATTTATTTATTTGGAGTTTTCAAAAATCGTTCAGTTGCATAATTTGAACACGTAACACTGAAGATACAACAGTAAACAACTACAACTACGAAACAATCCTCTCCCAGGGGAAGGACTTCAGGGCTACAAGGTGCACCAGTGATTCAACAGCAGCCATGGCAATAAAATACCACTCCATCCCGTACTGTCTCAGCTGCTCATGAGTGCCATCTCGGTCTGATGGATCTTCATATACGGAGGGAAGGAAAAGATGGCTCAGAAAAGATGATAAAAGTGACCTTTTATTAATTGCTTGTTAATCACGAGTCTCTAGCCAAATGCCTGATACACATTTTATATGTACGCCACAACTCTGAGTTGAAATAACTCTTCCAGTTTTGTAAATGCGGGTTTAATTGAAGTTGAAAGTGGCTAAGTGGTAAATAGCAGATAAATTGAGCACATCTAAGCTGTATTGGTACAACATAAATTATTTAAGTGAGGCATTAAGGGTAAAAAGTAGACAAAGAAATTGACTTTCTATGAGAATTAAGATATGGATATGTTGAGGGCCAAGTTCTTGGAGTGGCTCCCTGTTCCCAGGATTTTCCATCCAGGTTGGAGGTCTTCCAAGGACTGCCCTAGCCCTAGCTCCTAGATTTTTGATAGCAGATCAAGCGGATCTGCTTAGCCACACATCTGCCTTTGTTGCTCTCATCCCTATGTACCCTTAATGGGCCGGCATGAGAGGGGTGACGACTGAAACCTCCCTCCCACCTCTCCTCTCTCTCCATCTTTCTCAGTCTCCCGTGTGGTTCTTACCCTAGAGCAGCACTAAGATCCACTGACTCCTTACGTGACAGTTTTTGCTCCAAAGCTTTAGCTGTAGGAACTCATGGGATGACATCAGCAGCTCTTTGAAAAGTGCTGGGCCTCAAAAGGCTGCACTTGGGATGGAGCCAAACTCACCCTATGGGCCGAGGCAGTTCGAGTACATTCAGTTGAGTACCTTTAACGATAATGTCCGTCGGAGCAGTGTGATTATACATCTAAGGACCCAGGAATCAGTGACCCCTCAGTGCTCTTGGTCCTATTTTTTTTTTCTCCCATGATTCTCCAAGATCTAAGTTCAAGTTTCACTTCCTTATCAATATTTTCAAAATATCTTTGATAGCCAGAATGGCTTTCCCATAAAATTTAAAGTGACCATTCTTTTTGTATAAAATGCCCAATATTATTTTCCCAGGTAGAAAATGTAGGGTTGTAGGTGAGACAGGCAAATACTTCACAATATTTAAATAAGCAAGTAGGTGTGAATAGGCAAAATAACATATCAATTTACAAATACTTTCCACTTATAGTTTATGAATTAAGATAAATAAACATGCAATTTGCTGTAAAAATTTACCTGGAGAATCATATGTAAATAATGTTGTGTTCTCCCTTCTTTCATTACTACATCACATGATGTTCTGTTATTACTAACTGGTATAAACTTTAGTTATATATTGTACAATGAGTCAATTTGTTCATTTTATCTAACTGAAACTTTATGTCCTTTGGTTAGCATATCACCACCCTTCTTACCCCCTGACCTCTCTGGTAAGCATGGTTCTGTCTGCACTGCACTTCTATGATCTCTCTCTCTCTCTCTCTCTCTCACACACACACACACACACACATTCTCAGTGGTGTATCTGCTGGTTGAGTGTGTCTGTTTGTCTGCATGTCTGTCTGTTTGTTTGTGTTTTCCATTTGACATAAGCTGAAGTCATGGGGAAGGAGGCCATGAATTACAGGTTTCTTAGTCTGATTGGCTTCTGGTTGGCCCTGTGGAATGTTTTCTTTATAGACTGATGTGGGAAGGCCCAGCCTACATGAAGAGGTGACATCCCTGGGCAGATAGTCCTGGATTATATAAGAAGTAGAGCAGAGCAAGCCATGGAGAGCAAGCCACTAAGCAGCATTCCTCCATGGCCTCCGCTTCAGTTTCTGCCTTGGCTTCCCTCAACGATGGACTGTGATCGGGAGGTAGAAGACAATTAAGCCCTTTCTTTCATGCGTTGGTCTTGGTCATGGGTGATTCTCAGACTCTTCAGGCACTTCATCATCACTAGTCACAACTTTTTTAGATTCTGTGTGTAGGAAAGATGGTGCAGTATTGTTGTTCTGCACATAGGCTATTTTACTCCGTATCTTTCAACAGTTCAGGGCCATTCTGGAAAACACGCCAAGGTGTTGTTCTGATTTGCTTTTTACTGCTGTGATCAAGACCATGACCAAAAGTTCCCACCACCTCTCAGGACCACACCGCCAGCTGGGGCAAATTAGCCAGCAAGTGGGTCTCCGAGCGACATTGCATTTTCAAACCACACCAACCTCTGAGTGTATGCTAAGTCGGACTGAAGATATCTCAGGCTATGCTTGCCACCTTGGTCCTTGGAAGTAATAAGGTTAATTAACTGAAGGAAACAAGGAGGTGCTGTGATATTTATGTTTGAACTAGGCATTTAGACTCATTAGACTTTAAAGTCCTCTCAAAATGCGGAGAATAAGGTTCTGCCACAATCTCCTCTACAATCCCCGTAGAGACTGAAGGTTCTCTCAGCTAAGAATGTCCAAGCATTAAACAAGAGATCTAGGATCCAAAACATGTGATATGGGTTCAGTCCTGGGCCTTGCACATTGTTCTATGACGACATAGAAAGTTCTCTAAAAATACCAGCCACAAAGAAAAGTAAAACCATGACAGGAAAATGAGAAGAGCTGGAAATTATGAAGTGTCAGATATAGGATCTTCACCAACCCTATATCAGACAGAGGGATAATATCCAATATATATAAAGAACTCAAGAAGTTAAACAGCAACAAATCGGGTAATCCAATTTAAAAAATGGGGTACAGAGCTAAACAGAGAATGCTCAATAGAGGAATATCAAATGGCAGACAAAGAAATGCTTAACATCCTTAAACTTAAAGAAATGCTCAACATCCTTAGCCATCAGAGAGATACAAATCAAAACGACCCTGAGATTTCACGTTACACCCGTCAGAATGGCTAAGATCAAAAACTCAAGTGACAATACATGCTGGAGAGGTTGTAGAGAAAGGAGAACCCTTCTCCACTGCTGGTGGGAATGTAAACTTGTACAACCACTCTGGAAAGCAATCTG